CTGCACTGTACAAGCTGCAAGCCTGCAGGTCCCTGAGAAAGAGTCATTCTGGCATGTGCTCTGAAAGAATCCTCCTCTGCACTCCCTGCTCATAGTGTGTCTACACTATGAGGTCCTTGATGAAAGATCTCCGGTAAAATCCTAATGGAGAGCTAACTCGTGTGGGGAGCAGCTCTTTTAATAATGGGGGGTTTCTTCTCAACCAGAGTTTCTTATTGGAATTAAAGACCCCAGCACACTTACAGTTACAGGTTGCACATTAGTCAGACTGCTTCCTGAGGGGTACCCATAGTTAGTAAGCAATATATCACATGAGTCATACAAAACAAGGAAAGAAAGTAAACCAGTATTGATTGCTTACTTACTAAAGGTGAACTTTGTATTCTGTTACATACTATATTTAATTCTAACAACAGCTGAAAAGGGTGGCATACAAAGCTAGTAGTTGGCTCAAAGTCTTAGCACTATTAATTAGTGGTCCCAATTAATATGAACTTGAAGTTCATCCAACTCCAAGATGTGCTCACTTTTTACTAAAACCACTCACTAGTTCAGTAAAGATGTGCTGAATAAATAACTGGTGGAATCGAGTAATAATCAATGCATAGATATCTCCTTGCATAGAAAATGTAAGGAAGCATAAAGCGTTTCTGTGTTATAACCAAAAAGAGGCCCACTGAGCTCAGTTCCTTTACTTCTAGTGCTACTTAAACTTATAATTGTTGATTTATTAATATGAATCCTCTGTGCCTCAGACTTTCAGAAATCAAGAAATCATTTTAAATAGTTGATAACCAACTTGAGCATTAACAAGCATTTAGAGAGGACAAGTTAATAACTTTTAAATAAATGTTAGGTAAACACTGATTTGTGATTACCAAAATAACCAAAATGCAATGAAATTTATTACTAGTACACTTATAAGATGTTGAGAAACTGACTTGATTTTGATAAGCAAGCAAATTTCTACTTGGGCAGCAGTGTTTTTCTATTAAGCTTTCATTTAACCTCTTTTATTCAAAAAGTATTCACTGAACATTTACTGAACTAAAGCAGATTTCTGGGCTTGGAAGTCAAGGATGAGGATGCATTGGTCCTGCCCCCAGGGTGCCACCACTGAGTGGGGGAGACACAAGCTGGTACAATAATGGTGATGCCCATTAGGACCTATAAACGCTGCAGACACCAGTGGGTATGCCTGAGGTTTCCAGCATGTATTACCTCTCTGTCTATATTCCCTGGTTAAAACCCTGACTCATTTGTTCACTACAACAGAGTTCCAAAAATAGCACTTTCCACAAAACTTTTTTAAATTCCTAAAGGGAAATTTAACAGCTCCATACTTCCTCGTTCAGTTGAAAAAAGAAGGCTTACCTATTTCTCAAGAGGATCAAGAGGTTTTGCACTTTCAATTCCCTATAGGTCTACGTTTTTTTAAAGGATTCATACCAGAGCAAACTAAAGATTGTCCTTTTAATTGTCTAACACTTCGAAGACAAATTTCTCCCGAGAATGTAACAAGAAACCTCCTGCCTGCAAAAGTTGTTTGATGGAGTTATAAAAACAACAACAAAATTAAAAAGAGTAGTTAAAAAACTTAATGAATCCCATGTTCTTCAAATAATTCAATTAAGAAACAAGGTCAATACTATTGCAGATAATGTGCATATTTGCTGTTGATAAGTAACTATCTGGGCAAGTTTATTTTCTATATTTTCTGTGATTTCTTATTGATAACAGTGAAAAGTTGAAAATACAATATAATTTTTAAAAAGCCACAGATTAAGATTCAAGAGGCATGAAGTCTGGATGCACTTGATCACTAATTGTTGAGAATTACTTAAGGTCTTTGTGCATTCTCTGTGGCAAGAAATGGGGAGCAACCTAACCCTGCTGGTGACCAGATGAAACACTGCAGCACCGCAAGGATCCATGAGGTGCCTCATGAAACAAGAAGCTCTCAAAGAACGCAGTTTGAAGTAAACCCCAGTATATTATTCTGTCTCTAAAAACAAGTTGTTTTCTTTAAACTGCTAGAGTAGTAAATGAGGCAGAGTTATAGAAGAGAGAAAAAATAAATGTTATTATCAAACAAAAATTATGCATGCAAAGTAAATGAAATACTGATTCCCAACAGAAATATTCTGCTTGCTATGATATTTTCATTTTTTTTAAGTTATAGAATATGCATGTATATTTTCTAGGTACTGAAAGCTCCTAGTAAGCAAAAAAATTCAAGTCGTTAAGAAAGGTCGTGCTTCACTTCTCTTTATTTCTTTGCTTTAAAAGAGCTCTTATTAGAACTAAACCCTCTGTATCTTTATTCAAATGTTGGGAGCTAATTTAAAAAATAAATTCAACCTATACAAAGACTTTTTGGATTAAAAAATAGCTGACTTTTTAAGACTTTTTTACGATAATTTTTAAAGTTCAGTTTTAATCTTGAAGTGTGTAAAATATAAACTTAGTTGTCCATTTTGTAAGTGTTAATGCCCATCATAAATGGCTAGGATCACAGAGGCTAAGGAAATAGCTCACAGTCATATACCTTGCAAGTGGTAGAGCCCACTTTGTGCAAGAAGACAAAATTCCAACATGTGCTGGTAAATGTTCAACATTTCAGGGGTGGTGGCGGTAGGAAGAAGACTTATTTGTAGCAATTACTTATTTACATAATATAATACTTCTTTTGTGATAGATTTTAACCTACCAACCTGTCATCATTGAACTCAGAGTTGGGAAGAGATGTACATAGCCATCACTTGTGAGCCTGTGTGAGCTGGCTCCAACACACCACTGAAAAATTCCTGCCCACATGAAAAATGCATTCTAGTGGAGAGAGAGAAGCGACATACCCAGCACATGTACAGGGTGTCAGGTACCAAAAAGTATTATGCAGGAGGAAAAGAAAGGCAAGGGAGTTGAGCAGGCTGTGTGGGACAAGAGAGGCAACTTTAAATATGATAGTCCGGAAAATCTCCCTTAAAAAAAATATGGCATTTGAGCAAAGCCCTGAAGGTGGTGAAGGAGTGGGCCAAGTGGATAATAGAAGAACATTTCAGGGAGGGGTCTCTATTGGCTACATGGTAAATGCTCGGAGATTTATAAGAATTTTGGTTTTTAACATCAGTGAGATGGGAAAACACTGAAAGGTTTTTCTGTTTTGTTTTGTTTTTAGCCAATGCATGACATGATCTCACTTATATTTTTCAAATATCACTCTCACTGATGTTTTGAGAGCAAACGATTTGGGGGTGAGCTAAGTTGGAAGCTCTTTCAATAATCCAGGCAAGAAGTAATGGTAGCTTGCACCAGAGTGGCAATGGAGAGAATGGTAAGAAGGAGATTCCAGATATTCCTTGAATGTAGAGCCAACAGAATATGCTGACAGATTGGATGTGAAGTGTTGCCCAAAAGATGATTCCAAAGATTTGGTTCTCATCAACTGGAAAGATGAATTCAGCATTTACTGAATTAGAGCAGAGAAATTGTGGAGGAAAGATCAAGGGCTTGGTCTGGAATGTGTGCGGTCTGATTGCATATTAGACATCTAAGCGGAGATGAAGAACATGCAGTTGAATCTACAAGTCTGGTTTCGGGGAAAGGTTTAGGTTGGAGACACAACTGCAGGAGTATTTAAGATACTGGTAATAATTAAAACATTGGGACCCGATGTGAGCACCAGAAGAGTGAATGTAAATTATTTAAAATGGAGTTATCTATTTGACAAACATGTTCCAGCACTGTTTTCAGTGCTCTGTGAGTATTAATTGATTGAATTCTAATAACTGTAGAAGGTAGGCAGTATTATTTTCCCCTTTTCACAAATAAGAAAACTGAAGCACAAAGAAGCTGACTAACTTGCCCAAGATTACAAGTAAATGGCTAATAAGTGGTGGATACAATTTCTAGCCAAGGCTGTCCAGATCCAGAGTTCTTGTAGGAGAAGAAAAGTTATCTAAAGACCTTGACGCCTCAGGCACTACATTTGGTGGCAAATCAGTAAATCCCATTCACAGCACGTAACACATTTTACTTTTCCATAGCAATTCTAACTATGCTCAGGGAGAGTAAATATACCAGTGTTTTGTTTCCCTTTATACTTTTGTATATTTTCTATAATAAGCACATATCAATAGAGTCAAAAAAGGTCGTATTAAAATAATAGGAGCTGCAGAGAAATTTTTTAAACCTTGCTTCAATGGATGCATATCATTCTCTGTTTACAGCACAGTTAAATGAGAAGATACAATAAAAATGATTCCAGACAAACTGACATGAAGTGCTCTGCTTAGGCTATAAATGGACTTATCATAAAATTTATAGCATTTTCCAAAGAACTATTCCTGAAATTATACATTGACAGCAGGCTTAGGTTAGGACTTCCCTAAACATACCTGCAGTAAGCATAGGTGCCTCAAGTGGCCTCTTTCTTAAGAATAGAGTTGATGTGAATACAAGAGAGCAGACTCTTATCTGGTCCACTCACGCTACCAACCATTGTCACCTTCTTACTGTTCGTTATAGCTTAAATTTATTTATTAAATTTGTCATGATTGTTCTTTAGATTTTATTACTAACTACTGGTTAGAACTGGACATCAGCAAACAGCACCATTTGCCTGTTATTATATGTGAGTATTGGAGCTACTCTACTTGAGGCTCGCCAGTCCTTAGGTTGAGAATAATAAGAGAGACTTCAAATCTTTTGACAATTAAAGCCTCATTTCAATAATTTCAAAAGAAATATTAAAAATGTTAAGTATAAGTGAAACCTAGTAAGAAATTACTTTACACGGTGATTAAATACTATATTTATAATCATTAAAAAAGATTTCTCTTCATTCTAATTTTAGCTTAAATGAACTGAGAAAGAAAAAAACATCTCAGTGTCCACTTCTGCTTCCCAAGCTACTTTTAATATTACATAAATACTAAATTTGGTGTGGGACATGTGCAAGATGGAATGGCAAAATGGAAATACAAGGGAATATACTGTACCTTGTTTTACCTGTAAGGAACACACACCTGACAAAAGGCAATTTTCACATCCAAGGTTGGTTCACTGCAGTAGTACAATAAATGGAGGCTCATAAATACCTGTAGGGAAAAAAAAGGAGGGGCATGAATTTTCAAATCACCTAATTATTCATTACTTAATAGTATAAACTTTAATATAATTTGAATTATACACAAGGGTTCATGCACAATGTATTTCAGCATAATCCTTATTTAGACCACTACCAGGTACTTTTCAAAAATTGTAAATATTCAATAATAAAATAAGGTAAAAATGACCTATAATCATCAACATCATTACAATCCTAGAGAACAGATATAAGAAATGGGGATACCCAATAAATTAAGTATATACTATTATACAGCAATTTTGTTTCTAGGCATCTAATTTTAAAAATTCTTACATTAAATAAAATGTAAAGTGTAATAAAATTACATTTAAGAATTGGAATAATTGGCTAGGCCGGGAGTGGCTCAGCGGTTGAGCGTCGACCTAGGATCCAGGTGATCGGGGTTCAATTCCCAGTCAGGGCACATGCCCGGGTTGCGGGCTTGATCAATGACTCATCATTGGTGTTTCTATCTCTCTCTCTCTCCCTCTCTTTTCCTCTCTCTGAAATCAATAAAGATATATTAAAAAAAAAAAAAAAAAGAATTGGAATAACTGAATTAGAGCTTAAGGTATCAGCATAGATAAAATTTTCAAACTTGATGTTGAGGGGGGGAGAGAAAGCAAGTTTCAAAAGGGTATGAAAATCACTGTGCTATTAATGTAAAATTTTAAAATATACAAAATGTTATTACACATCATTTTGTTATATAACCATGTAACCACAGACTAAATAAAATAGGGCACTATATTAGCATGTGTTTAATCTTGGTGGTAAGTACAAATAATTTAATTACGTTATTTTCTGTAGGTTTGAAATATTTTATAATTCTGTGAAGTTTTAAGGAGGGGATAAAAATTATCTAATGGTATAAATGCTAAATTACTTCGGAATGACAAGGCAGCATCAGAGAAACCCAACTGAAATCTTTTTCCGTTCAATTAAATACACTTTGTTGAATGTTTATTGTGTGCAAGACACAATTCTGTGAGATTAAAGACTTTTAAGACCACGTTGACACAAGAATTGTTTCTGGCAATATGGAAGAATAGATATCATGAAAACCACTCTCAAGTCAAAACTCCTCAAAAAGTTAGATGAAATATACAAAATATCTTTTGAAGTGCACAGCTGAGCTGCCCATACAAGGCAAGAAAAAGTCTGAGGTGCTGAAAACTATGTGAAAGGATCCATGCAGAGAAGTAAATGAGCAGAGGCTGCCGCTCGTCCCCAGGCCATCTGCTGAAGTCTGAAGACTAGAACTTGAGTTTTTAAAGGGCTGCAAGGCAGAGCACAGGAAACAGGCAAGAACCTGTCTACGGTGGGAAGTCCCAGTGGAGAAAACTGCAAAAAGTTTCTCACAGGAAGCAAGCAAAACAACCCCAGGAGGAAGGTATGAATTGCAAGAAAAAAAAAGTTTTACATTGGAGTAAAGTTTTGGAGTAACATGTAAAGTTTTACATTTAAATTTAAGGGAGCATGAAAGGGCAAGAATATATAAGACGTTCCGGAAGAACAGGTGGGCATTTGTGGGTGGGCGGTAGGGAGGGAGCTGCTCTACCACAGACCCAGGTTTACTTTAAAGCTCTAGTAAGTAAAGTTATGTGGGGTTGATGCAGAGATAGACTATCAATTAATAGAGAGCCCCGAAACACACAAACATATATGGAAACCTGATTATGTTATATTATGTTAATATAGTCACTTAAACCTAATGTAAAGCTTCATGAAGAAAATGTGGAAGAATCTCTATGGACCTGGTGTTGACAAAACCAAAAAAACACTAATAATAAAAGGAAACTAAATGATAAAGTAAATTTCATAAAAAGTATTATCTACTAAAAGATGACATTAATAAGCTGAATATGCAAGCTATTGACTGAAAGAAAATATTTATAATATGTGTATTTGACAGAGAACTTTTCATCTCAAATAAAGAATGTCTATAATTTGTAACAAAAAGACAACCCTTCCCTCCGCACAGCCCACCACGAAATGGGCAAAATACTGAAAAGGTGCTTCACCAAAGAATAAATGGCCAATATGCACAGGGAAAAAGTTCTCAACATCATTAGTCATCAAGAAAATTTAAAAAATAAACCATAACAAAATATTACTAAACACTTACTGGAATGATTAAAATTTAGGACACTGATAACATCAAGTGTCAGCAAGGATGTGAAACAACTGAATGGACATACATTGCTACAGGCGGTAGCCAATGACTGTGTCTGGCAGTTTTTCACAACTTAAACATATTTCTATCCCATGACGCAACAACTGTTTCATTATATTGCAGCGTGCATTAAATGGGGAAAAGTTCTCCCAGCTACTCTTCAATCTTCTCAGTCTTCTCACAGCACTTTGTTCATACTTTTAATAGGAGTGTCTTACAATATTGTGACTTTTCACTCATATGTCTCTTCCGCACGACATTATTTTATTGCCTTCTCAGGGAAAGCGATAATGTTTTATTCATGTTCACAACCCCAGGGCCCAGCACTATTCTGAGTATATAGTTAATGTTGAGTAAATGTTTATTGAATGAAAAGAGAATCACATTTTAAAACTTTCTTTCCTTCTGTAGCACAAATCTCTCAGTATTTACACCATCTCATATTGAAACCTGTCAGTTTTCAATAAATCTGATGCTAACAAATTAAGAAGGAGGAGTTTGCAGTAATGGAAGAATAAAAAAAGTCCAGCACAATGACCTCAGACGTGCTGCCCAGCAGGGCTATCTTTGTTCTCTGCTGCTGAGCTGGACAGGTGAGAAATAATAACATCCAGCGCACCACCTGAAATGAGCCATGTATTTTAATTTTTAATGAATGAATAAGCTTGCTATGAAAAGCCAGCTTCCTGGCCTTCCCTGGTTTGCATTATAAAGGCTTCAAATATAGCACCATGACTAAGTCACTCAGGCACTGCACAACTTTCTTGTTCCACAAAGGGACATAAAAAGAAAAAGAATGTTCAGTATGATAATCTCAGTGAATTGCAGGAAACTGGTTTGGTAATTATATTTCTTGAGAGCGTGGCAGAGAGCATTTGGCACCATTGCACAGAAACAACATAAATGGCAGGGCACTGTCTCAATATTAGTCTAAAGTGAAATCAGTGACAGCACCTTAGAGCAATATAGGACCCGCGAGTAGCTTGCAAAGGGAGGGGATGAGAATTGGGGAGTTTAGTGCTTTCAATTACTGGTTGTTCTTCTGGGAGAAGCCCCATATGTCCCTTCCTTGCTGTGCACTATACTGAGTTTCTCCTCATTACCCGTCTATACGAGTTAATGGTTACTCTGAGCAAAGCAGCAGGCCAAGTTGTATGAATGAAATACACTTAAGAATTTATTAGGTTGAACTGGTATGAAGCAGCTGCTATAAAAGAATGCAACTATGGTGTGTTTAATAGCTTAGATCAATACTTAGATTTTTTTTTTTGTATGTGAGATGTGCCAACTAAACCACAGGAGGTTTGAGAACCTTCACAGATGCACAAAATCAAATTGTCTGGGCAACTCCAGGCTCCCACAGTTTGTCACTGAAATGCAATATATACAAGGGAAAACCAACTGAACTACTGATTACAAAAAATAAATAAATAAATAAATAAATAAATAAATAAATAAGGCCCAGCAGTTCTTAAGCTGCATTGGTATTTAACAAACTCATTATCTACAAATTATTTTTGTATTTATTACAAGTGACTCTCTTAACACTCTACAAGCATATGTATAGTATTCACTGTTAATTACAAAAACACTGTCTCTTCTATGCTCAAAAGGAATCTCCCAACTATGTGCAAAAAAAAAAGTAAAGTAAATATACCTTGAAACTAGTAGTTATATTTTCAAGTGCTGATATAGAAAATAGAATTAAATTTAATTTCTTATTAAGAACTGTGCATATGCTCACTTTAAAATATATTAATATCAAGTCCGTAGGTCCATGGACTATCATTTAGAACAGGGATCAGCAAACTGTGGCCAATGGACAAATTCAACTCACCATCTGTTTTTGTAAATAAAGTTTTATTGGAACACAGCCATGTATTAGTTTACATATTGTCTGTGGCTGCTTTCACAGTATTATGGCATAATTGAGTAATCATTTCAGGGACTGGATGGCCTGCAAAGCATAAAATATTTACTATCTGTTCTTTATAGAACAACGTTGCCAACCTCTGATTTAGAGTACTCTATCCATAAACATCTAGAAATACATCATTAGCTTCAGTATAAAAGCAAAAATAATTTACTATGCCTCTAATCATAAGTGTATAAATATGCTAAATACTCTCTAATAAATAATTTTAATAAATAGTATCTCCTTCCAAGGAATCTGTACTTGTCTTCATCTAAAAGTTATATATCTCTTAAAATATTGTTCATGTAACAAGACAATTGCTTCCACAGAAATTCTTTGATAGCTTATTTAGCAGGAGTTAAGCAATAGTTAGAGATTAGAATGTAAAAGATGGGAATGAGGCCACTCTGGCCGGTGTGGCTCAGTTGGTTAGAGCATTGTCCTGTGCACTAAAAGATAGCAGGTTCGATTCCAGGACAGGGTGCATGTGGGAGGCCAACTAATCGATGTTTCTCTCTCACATTGGTGTTTCCCTCTCTCTCTCTCTTTCACTCCTCTCTCTAAAATAAATAGATAAGTAGATAGATGATTGATAGATGATAGATAGATAGATGATAGATATAGATGATAGATAGATAGATAGATAGATAGATAGATAGATAGATAGATAGATAGATAGATAGATAAAAGATGGAAATGAGGCAAATCTATAAGAAATAGGGTGGAGTATTAAGAAAGAAGACATAACATAAAAGGTGTAGAAATGGTGAAATTCACCCATTCAAGAATGATAACACATACAAACATTTTAAAACTCTCCTAATTTTAAACATACAGCACAGTTTCTGGTCCTGAAAACCTGGTATAGTTAGTTAACAGG